AAATATCAGAGAAACGCCTCATACCACTACAAGCATTGTGTATATATATATATTTTTTTAAAACAGGCAAAGTCAATATCTTTGGATGAGATTGATTATGCTGAGCTGCATTTGAAAAACTAGTCATAGTATAGGTATGCATACAAGACAATGTAACACCATATGCTTCACAACTCTTGACTTGAACTACCAATGCTGAACTCTTGAACTACCAATGCTGCAACATGATTTTCTGTCTAAGGTCCAGAGGATGCTCAGGCCCATAAGGAGCTGGACTCTTGCCGTAGGACAGACAGGGTCACAGACTTTCATCTAGAGCTATCACCCTGAACTAGATTACAATCATTAAGGGTGTGACTTTAGTGCAGGCTTTCTTGCCACACAGTGGGAATTAGAAAAGGATCCTCACTGTGTCTATGTGACAAAATAGAAATGCAGCCAATTTAAGTCGGGCTTGGGAAGTGTGTGTTCATGCAAGATTCAAGAGGCTGCGTAAAACATAAAGAACTGAACTAAACAGGAGTGTTGCTCAGGCAGAACAACTATCCCTATGCTCAAGCAACAACAGCTAAGGTAATGAAATGAACATCGTAAAAGTTCATAATACATAAAACAAGACCAAATTCTATCAAAATCCTGTAAGTGTCAAATTATGTAGGCCGTATCCTACCTGGAATCACCACTAAATGTGCAAATAAGAATTGTTTTCTTAGAAAAGAATACATTAGGCATGTTTTTACAGTGGTGAAAAAAATTCTTCTTGCCATATAAAAATCTGATTAATGTACTATAAAGACAGTAATTCATATTTGCACATTTATTGGTGATTCCAGGTAGGATATGGCCTATCTAATTTGACGTATATAGGATTTTGACAGAATTTGGTCTTGTTTTATGTATTATGAAAATCTAACTGCATTACTCCCACCGTAATTCACTTTTTTTTTTTTTGTTGGGAAATTGAGCTGCAGTGAACAAAATCTTAACATAAAACTTGCATTGTCTGTCTGTCCCTCGCACTCCAACCATCGAAAAAAAAAAAAAAATCCAATAAAAATGCTTCAAAAGTGATAAAAGGCAGATTCTTAACTCCGATGAGGATACAGCTTAGGCCTGTTATTCTTTCCATCCTATATTTCAAATACAAGTTCCCACTGTTACAGGAAGTGCTTATCGGAGTTGTTTTACTCCTATTTCACATGGAATACAGTACAAGCACACCTACACCGATAGGATTCATTATCAGCAAAATAACAGCCATTCTGTTGGCTAAGAAAAGACAGGGCGTTTAGGATCGGGGCTTCTAAACGTGATAAAGATTTTGTAAAGATTTCTTTCAGGACAGCTGTAAGAAACTGAACAACAGTGAAGAACTGCCAATGTGACTAATCTAGTGCATGCAGCATATAACAGTATTACAATAAACAAAAAAATTGCCTTTAAATAGCCAAGCTGCTGCACAGGCTTTTCAGGTGATTCTATCTCTTACCAAACTTGATTCTTTTCAAATATCCCCTGGGAACTCAGTATTAATTCATTTGCTGTCAGTTAGTTCCTGCTACCTCAGGTGAAAAGGGTTTCTATGCAGACCTGTTTTGAAATTGGCTTTAAAGGGCACCATAAACTTTAACCCAAACAAATGCCCCCATTTTTCATGTCAGCTTCTTATTACCACTAATGCCCTTTGCTTGAAGGACCAGAATCAGAGAACAACAGTACAAGAGGAATTTTCCGAGACAAGACCAAAACTTCGTGTTCTGTGGTCTCAAACCTAAAACTAGGACACCCTCAAGTAAAATGTGTCCGGTTAAAAAAAAATGCTGTTGAAAAGTTTTATAAATGTGCATGTTTGAACTGGAAATTGCTACATACAGTATTATCTCTACTCTCTCATCTCTAACACACTTCCTTCATTTATGCTTCTGTCCTATGGAGTGATTTCTGTTTCTTTTCCACAGGATGTGCAGAGGTGCAGAAGAGCAAGGGTGCTATGGAGATCTTTGGAGATCACCCTATGGCACTGTAAATTCATCTTCAGCTTGTAAAAGTAAGAACAGTCACTAGATGACTATTTACATGCGAGCCTGAAGGTATTTATGCTCTTGTGTGTTACCTGTATGTGAAAAAAAAAAAAGGTTCCTGTTGTATTGTGTGGCTTTGGGCTGTTTTGTCCAGAGTGGTGGTGAAGGAAATGACATTTCTGAACATGGTGAAGAAACAGCAATTCAAATATAGATGTGTTATCTTTTTAGATACATAGCGGCAAACTCCTAAAAGCCTGCTATGTTCCTATAAATAGAATAAGGCATTTATTGAGTTCCACAGCAAACCTAACTTAAAAACAACATTTTTTTTTATTTGTTTCATTTAGACATAGCTCCAGGGCACTCTATGGAATTTAATTCATATTTAATGTAATGTATACTTTCTATAAGAAGATACAACCCCCTCCAAAAGTACTGTACACCTTTGTTCATGTTTTTATATTAATAACCACGAGAACAGTTGTAATTTGCTCCATACATCCTTTCTCTGTGTTCTTGTCAGCTAGTGGGACTTTGAGAAATTTGGACTGTCACAAATTTCATACATTTCAGAGTGTGTTCAAGGGACACAGGTACGGGAGATACGTACAGTATTAGACGGGGTATCTGTGGTGCAGTGAGTAGTTTAGGTGCATTACATGTCTCCGTTGTTCTTCTTCTTCTTCTTCTTCTTCTTTATCATTTGTAAATACATACAGTCCCCTCTGAAAGTATTGGAATGGCAAGGCCAATTCTTATATTCTTTGCTATACACTGAAGACATTTGGGTTTGAGATGAAGATGAGCTTTCATTTCCTGATATTTATATCTAGATGTGTTAAACAACTTAGAACATGGCGAGCAAAAGTATTGGAACAGATAGTCTTAAAGTAAATAACGTAATATTTGGTTGCATATCCCTTTCTTGCAATAACTGGATCAAACTGGCAACCTGACATCAACAAATGGTTGCATTCTTCTTTTGTGTTGCTTTTCCAGGCTTGTAGCACAGCTTTTTTCAGTTGGTTTGGGGGATTTATTCCTTCAGTCTCCTCTTCAGGAGGTGAAATGCTGCTTATCTGGGTTAAGGTCTGGTGATTGACTTGGCCAGTCTAAAACTTTCCAATTTTTCCCCTGCTTAAGTCCTTTGTTGTGTTTTGAGTCATTGTCTTTCTGCACGATGAAGTTCCTCTCAATTAGATCGGATGCATTTCTCTGTAAACTGGCAGACAGAATGTTTCTGTAGACTTCTGAACTCATTCTGCTGCTACCATCATGCGCTACATCATCAATAAAGATTAGCGAGTCCATTCCAGAAGCAGCCATGCAAGCCCAAGCCATGACACTACCTCCACCATGCTTGACTGATACTTTTGTATGTTTCGGATCATGAGCAGATCCTTTCTTTCTCCACACTTTGGCCTTTCCATCACTTAGGTAGAGGATAATCTTCATTCCAGGACTTTTGTGGCTCATCTCTGTATTTCTTTGTGAATTCCAATCTGACCTTCTGATTCTTACTGCTGATTAGTGGTTTGCATCTTGTCTCTACATTTCTGCACTTGAAGTCTTCTTCGAACGGTGGATTGTGAAATGTTCACCTCTGCCCTGTGGAGGTTGTTGGTGACTGACTGTTGTTTTTGGGTTTTTCTTCACATCTCTCACAATATTTCTGTCATCAACTGCTGTTGATGACCTGTTTGATGTCTGACCTGATGTCCGGTTGTTAGTTCACCAGTGGTTTGTTTTTAGGACATTCCAAATTGTTGTATTGGCTATGCCTAATGCTTGTGCAATGGCTCTGATCAATTTTCCCTCTTTTCTCAGTTTCAAAATGGCTTGCTTTTCTCTCATTGACAGCTTTCTGGTCTTCATGTTGGTTTCAACAGCAAATGCAGTCTTCACAAGAGCAAACCAGGGCTCAAATCAAGAGCAGACATTCAGAGCTATTAATTGTTTAAAACAGTCAATCTAACAGAGGACACATGAGCAACAAGAAATGCCTGTCAGTCACATGTTCCAAAACTTTTGAAAAATTCACTTGGAAAATTGGTGGGTTTTATACAAAAGGTGACAAGTAAAAGGATACATGTAATGCACCTAAACTACTCACTGCACCCCATCTAATACTGCATACATCTCCTTTACCTGCGTCCCTGGAAGACCCTCTGAAATGCATGAAACCACCATAATAATTTCTGGCAGTCCAAATTTCCCAAAGTCCCACTAGCTGACAAGAGCCCAGAGAAAGGATGTATGGAGGAAATTACAATGGTTATTGTGGTTATTAATCTAAAACATGAACAGTGATGGCTTTGAACTATGAGCATGTTATGCTGCATTTCACTTAACTCTCAAGCTACAAAGTGTGGATAAAAACATGGACACCTTTTTTGTCTTTTGTTGCCAACAAGCTAGCCAGCTAACTGTGTTGAGTGATGTATATTTACTGCTTTAAAACAGTGAACTGTCTAGTCAATGTTATAGATTTAACAAGTTATTATATTAATATGCTTGATCTAAAGCAAGCATTTGTAGATACAGTATAACTCATTTAAAGGTAAGAGGTGCTACTCTGTTTACTGTTCATGCTAATGTTCATCCAGGTGAAACAAGCCATGGGAACGCCATTACTATAAGATACTAATTAAAAAATAATCTGACATTTCAGCCTTGGGTTCTTTAGCAAACCAGCACTCATGGTTTTGTTTATTTTGTTTCTTACTTGTATAATGCAAATTGGGCTACAGATTGTGCTATAAATGTGTTAACAACTACTTACAGACAGATATTTGTCAGGTACTAGACTATATTTAACACATATTGACCAAAACATGACAGAATTCTGGTCCCAGCTATTGGTTCCATATTATTTTGTATATCACTTTTCTAACAACAGTTGATAGTTAATAGTGATAGTGTAGGATATCTGTTATTTCCATGCCATTACCAAGTTTCCATTAACTACCCATGTAGTCCCTGGAGGAATAGTGGTTAGGCCACAGTGCTCTGACCGCCATGACCCAGGTTCTATCCCGGGTCAGGGAGCAGCACATGACAGTACACTCCCAGTGCTGGTTCCAAGCCCGGAGTAAATTGGGGAAGGAGTAAAAACTGCGCTAAATCAAATATGTGGACCAATGATCTGCTTTGGCGACCCCTAACGGGGAGCAGCTGAAAGAAGAACAACTGCACATGCACATGCCTGTTTCCAGAAACAAGCATAATTGTGTTTTTGCAATCACTTGATTGACAGAAGTCATCCCAGACCTTTATCCGTCCATTCATATACATTTGGTAACCCCAGCCATCATGACGTACCTACTCAGACATCTTGGGCACCGCAAGGTTCCCAGTACAAGAAGTCCTAAGTGAATGTTTTGGATGTAGAGATGGAGGAGCTGTGAAACATAAGACTGAATTCATCAGGGGATCTAAGGAGGGTATAAATGTATTTGAGTGAATGTTGCGATTGTTGGAAAATGCTGGTATCTTTAGCTAAGTTACAAAAATCTGTACAATAACCAGCAGTTAGGTCGGGCTGTCAAACTCATTTTAAGTAATGGGCCACTTTACACTCAGTCCAATTAGTCTTAGTCAAATGGGCCGGGCCAAAAAAAAAAAAAAAACAGTTTAGTAGAAAAGAACTCCCCTTAAATGTGTTATTTTATCAGCATTTATCTGAAGGTACGTTCTGAAAGCAGAAATGGATTAAATGTCACCTACAAAATACAAGAATAGATCTCAATTAATTACAAAAAAAAATCTAATTATGGTTTTTACCACATATACACAGTGGCTTGCATAAGTATTCACCCCCTTAACTATGTCATTTAAACAAAATATTCCATAACACTGAAATGAGGGAAAAGGTCAATATAGTTTACAAAAGTATTTACAAATAAAATACTTAAATACGTATATTCACCTCATTACAGTGAAATCCCTAAAATAGTTCTTTTGGAAGGAGACGTGGTTACAGCGCCACATTTTCAGCTTGCTAATGAAACAAACTTTATTACTTTATTACTTTTGCCCCTAGTGGAATAACAAAGACTAGCTCTTTTTTCAAATCTTTCAATAGGTTCATTACACAAACACGACCACATTCATCTTAAAACTGCTCCTGCATTCGGTTCTTTCACTATACTCTCAATGGCGGTATTTTATAGTTGGTGTCCGCAAGAGCAGTATTAAAACCATGGAAGTTTTTGCACAAAGTGCACTGATCCCATTGTGTTCTCGCTGTATGTTTGACACCCCTGAGTCAACTTTTGTCACCTCACAAGTATACACTGGGATGAAATATCATGCCTCCAGGACCATAGTGCAAAATACAAAACACTGGCTCTGTATGCAGTGGTACATCATGTGTAACAGTGAGACAAGTAAAAAACAAGAGTGTCATGCAAAGCCGCTGAAACCTATAATTCCAGTGTAATGACAAGTGCAAGAAGAAATGCATAGAAGTACATGCCGACTACATAGAACAGAGAGACATTAGGATTTGAAAGCGAGCGACAGGACCAGCTGTACTCTAGAAAGTTTGGACTGTCGTGTGGAAGGAAACCTGTGACAGACCGGATGTGTCAAATAGCTGGTGGACAGACTGGACTGAGTCTTCTTCTCCAGGGAGGCTGTCACTCTGTTCGCTCTCTTCATGACATTTCATAGCAGCTCCCTAAACAGGCCGGTCTACTGAATCCCACATTACCCACACACATTTATTTTGCTAAGGCTTAGGAACGCAGTAAGTGAGCTATCTAGTCACCAGTTTTCTGGTCTCTGGATCCCATTCTCATTGTTGTTAACTTAAATAAGATATTACATATTTATGTGATATTCTCACATGATAGATGAGATTAATAAGAGGGCTTCTTCAAATAACTCATTCCTTTGAAGAAAGAAAAAAAATGCAGAGGAAAATGATAGTGAAAACGCAGACAAATAAAAGCTGTGAAAAGCTAACTAAATGGAATGGTTTAATTAACAGATATATCATCTCAGGGTGACAAAAGATTCATTAAGTCGATATATATAATGATGTACAACAAAAAAGAAAAACAGGATGAGCAGGACAGCAATATATGGTTCTAATGAATAAAGCGGACTTAAATAGATCAGCCCTCTAGACTCACTGGTCTGGACACATTTATGGTCATAAATGGTCATATATAGTCAAAAGCTTGTGGACACCTGACCATCACACCCATATGTGCTTGTTGAACATCCCAGTTCAGAGCTGGACCCACCCCCCCCTTTGCTGCTATAACAGTCTCCACTCCTCTGAGAAGGCTTTCCACTTGATTTTGGAGCGTGGCTGTGGAGGTTTGTGATTAGTGAGGTCAGGAGAGGAGGCCTGGTGCGAAGTCTACATTCCAGTTGATCCCAGAGGTGTTCAGTGGAGTTGAAGTCAGGGCTCTGTGCAGTAACTCAAGTTTTTCTACACCAAACCTGGCAAATCATGCCTCACTTTGTACTCAGGGGCATCGTCATGCTGGAACAGGTTTGGGGCCCTTTAGTTCGAGTAAAGCAAATTGTTAATGCCACAGCATGCAAAGACATTCTAGACAACTGTGTCCTTCCAACTTTGGTGTAACTGTTTGGGGAAGGCTGAAGTATGGGTGTGATGGTCAGGTGTCCACAAACATTTGGCCATATAGCGTATCTACTGTATATGTAACCTCACAGTGGAAAGTGAGGTTAACAGTAAAATACAAAACTTTCATGTGGAACCTTGACATTGACGGCATTCATACGAAAGTAACTTCTGTACTATCTATTCACTACAAAACAAACAAAAAATATTAAGTATTTAAAAACAGACAGCAATAATCAGTTAATTGGAAATTCTTGACAGGTTTATTGTGAATGTTTTGCCATTAATAGAAATACTAAACAGAATTAAATTCAACAGAGAGATTACACTATATCTCTCTAGAACAATTTACTTTGCAGCACTCTAATTAATTCTCTAATAACAGGGTACCAGGCCATATGTACCAGGCCCTACTGTATGTACCAGGCCCTATGTACCAGGCCCTATGTACCAGGCCTTATGTGCAGCTTTCAAATTATCAATGTATCAGCACAAACAGCTCTCTCCATTTCACCATGAAGAATCCATAGGTGTCATGGGCAGCTCCATGTCTTTTCATCATACTGATTTAAGAGTGGCTGTTATAGGCACTCTCATCTCAGCTCTTTGAAAATAAAGACGGCCAGCAGAGGATAAAGGGCATGTCGGGGCTGAGAGTAAGTGCAGACAGATATGTCATAGCTACTGCAACATGGGCGCAAGATGAAAGCGGTACCAGACTCATTAGGAACCTTTTTTGCCTCTCCATTTGGTGCATGACTAATAGAGTGCTTGCAGATCGCCCAAGCACAATGAAGCGATTCCTGTGAAAAATTATCATCCCCTCACTTTGAAAAGATTTCACCTTCAGTGGAAATGCAATATTATTAGGGAACTGGACACAGACTTTGTTGTAAATTCCTCTCAAGTCAGGCAGCAGATGCAGCTGAACAAGACATTGGATCATAATCAAACAAAGCCCCCTCCCTCTAGGCAAGCAAATGAAATAGAATTTAAAGAAAATAACTCGGCTCACTGCAGATACGTAGCAATGAGGAACACCCTACTGTAGATGACACTGAGATTGCATCATGTGCAGCCTTGAAAAGAACCAGGTCAAAAAAAATGTACGTAATTTGATCCTATAGGCATGTACTATACATTTCCTAATATGGTTTGAGTAAATGATACAATTTTAGGAATGTGCAATTATATTAAGAAATGTTTAGGGTTTGCAAAAATCTATATTAATTGAAGGTTAAGGGCTTTGCTCAAATGCCCAGCAGTTGCAGCTTGGTGGTGCTGGGATTCAACCTCAGAACCTCCTGATTAGTAGCCTAGAACCTTAACCACTGAGCCACTACTGCTCTTATTATGATATTAATTGCAATATTCCACAAATATGTAAGCTCTTCTGCACATGAAACTACACATATGCAACTTTCAATTGGATGAAAGTATAATGAAAACATCTACATCACTTTATAGATACACTATATGGCCAAAAGTTTGTGAACACCTGACCATCACACCCATATGTGGGCTAATTGTATGGAATGTCTTTGCATTACAGTTTCCCTTCACTGGAACTAAGAGGCCCAAACCTGTTCCAGCGTGACGATGCTCCTGTGCACAAAGCGAGCTCCATGAAGACATGGTGTGAGAAGGTTGGAGTGGAAGAACTCGAGTGTCCTGCACAGAGCCCTGACCTCAACCCCACTGAACACCTTTGGGATGAACTGGAACACCGACTGCACCCCAGACCTCCTCACATCCCAACATCGGCGCCTGACCTCACTAATGCTCTTGTAGCTGAATGAACACAAATCCCCACAGCCACGCTCCAACATCTAGTGGAAAATCTTCCCAGAAGAGTGAAGCTTATTATAACAGCAAAGGCGGGACTAAATCTGGAATGGGATGTTCAACAAGCACATATCGCACAAACTTTTGGCCATATAGTGTATGTAGTTGCATCACTTTATCTTGATCTTTTTTCAGTCATAGTGAAATAAGAGTAACTCTCTGATGACAATGTTTTCAGGGCTTGGTCAGCCAGTTGACATATGAGGCTGGTCTAGATCTATGTGTTTGATGATTGGACACTTATTTTATCACAAGACAGCTGTCTAACTCATTTGAGAATGGAATTCTAAAAATCATACACTAGCACAGAAAAAATTTGAAGATATTTAGAAGTCTGTGTCTCTAAAATGTCAGACTACCACAGGAGATGTAGAAGATAAGCCAAGTCCAGAGAGGGAGAACCAAAATGGTATCTTTTTAAAACAAGCAGGGTGTGTCGTCACTTTGGTAGAAAGGTTTTTCATCAATACTGGAGCAGACTTGGATTAATAATGGGGGTGTAAAGAAAACTTTTTTGTTACACTCTCTTTACTGGACTTTCATTCTAATTGAAAATGTTCAGGGATAGATCAAATATTACAAAACGTCAAGCCTCATGTCACTTGTCAAGCAGATGACAAGTGACATGTTTAATAAAGCTATGCAAAAAAAATATTAATGCTAAGATGAAGACGCAAGATCGCATAAAAACTCTAAGGGATATTCAATAGCCGTTCAGCTTGGGGAGTGACAGTTATATTATTGCTCTCCATTATGGGGCTGGGGATCTCCTCACTTGCTATTTATTATTAAATGTCAGTGTCAGCATTTCAGACATCATTATTTATAGGGATGATATGCTACAAATAACGGAGAACCAAAACTATAAAGCAGCAGTAATTCCTGTTCAATCAGGATTAAGTGAGGGAACAATAAACATTACAACAGGATGGCAGAAAATTACAACACAACTGCACAAAACGCCGACTAGACAAACATTCTTGCTTTTCTGACAGCTGACAAGGGCAATTAATTGAAGTGACAGCAAATGGAACATTACACATATCTGGATCAACTTCAGGAAAACTATTATTCCGATAAACACAACTGTTTGTTTTTCATTATTGTTCCTCCGGTTCTCTAGGACTTTTCTACCAATAGTTGTCTATAATCATGATGAGAATGGAGTGCACTGAACATACTCGTTCCTAATACAACAACTGTGTTTTAAAGCTAATATCTGACAAAAAGGAAATTCACGTAAGCACCTGACCTTGTACAATAGCAAGGCTTTGTAACATTGCAGTGATTTCTGCTTCTGTGGCTAGAGCCTAGTCCTCTCTTGTAAGCAATGTGCTTACTCATCACCAGAGTGTAACAACATAAAGTAAAGTAGTGCAAAGTAAAGAAAGGTGTTGGGCCAACCACATGCTGCCAGAACAGCTTCAACAAACCTTTGCATGGATTCTACAAATCTCTGAAACTTGTACTGTGGGGATAAAACAAGATATTCCTTCAACTGGTGTAGAAGAGTCTGCTCTCCGGACACAACATTGGTACACACTTTTTTTTTTAATTTAATTTTTTTTAGTTTTCAAACCATTATTTCTCTAAAATTATTACTGTATACAAAATCACAAAATTCAGATAGAGCAATCGTGTGTTAGTCGAATACACCCTTTTGTTTTCACTCATGGCCATTCAGTACTTATTTTTAATTATTTGGTGGCAAACAATAATGATGGGGAAATGTACAAATCTTACTCAAACAGCCATGCAGCACTTACTTATGCAGGTCAACATTACGAATACAACCACATTTCCAAAAAAGTTGGGACGCTTTGTAAAATGCGAATAAAAACAGAATGCAATTATTTGCAAATTGCACAAGCCCATATTTTATTCGCAACAGAACATAGAAAACATAACAAATGTTTAAACTGAGATAGTGTAATATTTTATGAAAAAAAAAAAAAGAATTTTGAATTTGACCACTGCAACACGTCTCAAAAAAGTTGGGACAGGGCGATGTTTACCACTGTGTAGCATCTCCGCTTCTTTTAACAACAGCTTGTATACATTTGGGAAATGAGGAGATGAGTTGCTGGAGTTTTTCGAGTGGAATGTTGTCCTATTCTTGAATGATATACTGCTTAACTGTCCAGGGTCCTCTTTGCCGTATTTTTCACTTTATGATGCGCCAAATATTTTCAATTGGCGAAAGGTCTGGACTGCAGAGAGGCCAACTCAGCACCCGGATTCTTCTGCTATGAAGCCATGCTGTTGTAGGACGTGTTGTATTTGGTTTGGCATTGTCTTGCTGAAATATGCAAGGCCTTCCTTGAAAAAGATGCCGTCTGGATGGAAGTATACGTTGCTCTAAAACCTGTATACAGCTCTCAGCGTTGATTGTGCCTTTCCAGATGTGCAAGCTGCCCATGCCGTACACACTAATGCGTTCCCATCCCCATCTTCCTCTTTGCATGGTACAGATTTAATCTGCATTTGTGGATGGCACGGCGAACTGTGTTTAATGACAACGATTTTTTTGAAGTGTTCCTGAGCCCATGCAGTGATATCCATTACAGAAGCATGCCTATTTTTGATGCAGTGCCGTCTGAGGGCACGGAGATCACGGGCATTCAATATTGCTTTTCGGCCTTGTCCCTTACGCACAGAGATTTCTCCAGATTCTTTGAATCTTTTTATGATATTATGTACTGTAGATGATGAGATGTTTAAATTCTTTGCAATTTTACATCGTGGAACATTATTCTGAAATTGTTTCACTACTTGCCCATGCAGTTTTTCTCTGGTCGGTGAACCTCTGGCCATCTTTACTACTTAGAGACTCTGCCTCAATGAGATTCTCTTTTTATACCCAATCATGTTACTGGCCTGTTGCCAATTAATCCAATCAGTTTTAAAATGTTCCTTCAGCTATTTCTTGTTAGTATTATTTACTTTTCCAGCCTTTCGTTGCGCCCGTCCCAACTTTTTTGAGACATGTTGCTGGCATTAAATTCCAAATGAGCTAATATTTTTCAGAAAATAATAAAATGTCTTACTTTAAACATTTCATATGTTGTCTATCCTCTGTTGTGAATAAAATATGGGTTTATGTGATATGTAAATCTTTGCATTCTGTTTTTATTTGAATTTTACAAAGGGTCCCAACTTTTTTGGAAATGGGGTTGTAGAATGTTTACAGATATCATACTGTTTTTACTGTTGAAGATCTTTAATAAGCTGTGGAAATGTATTAAACAGAAAATCACATGAAGGTCTTGAACAGTAAAAACTCTTCATTAATGTACTGTAGATTTTCCCATCATTTGGCGTTTGCCACCAAATAATTAATAATAAGTAGTGAGTGCTCGTTTCTGTCTTTTGCATAGCACTATACATGAACTTACAGAAAGTTGCATAGAACTTGCATGGAAAGTAAATGATTGTTAAGTCACGACCCGATAAAAACTAATGCAGTAGGACTTTCATTACAAACACCATTAATTGCTGTCTCAGTATTTACAATTTTGTCTTTAGGTTTTTACAATTCAGACAGTTTAATTACCTTTGCGACAACCAGCCATATAAACTGCTATTCTTTATATTGAAATGTTCAATTAATACAATCAATAGGTAAGCATGCCTAAGTCAGGAATAATTTTTTTTTAAAAAAAGAATAAAAAAATAAAAAAATAAAATAAAAAAATGCTAGAGAACATGCATTACTCAGATTGTAGTTCTTTTCGGTGAATTTTGTACTTCTTTTACTTCTTTCCCACTGGTGTAATTAAATGGTTGCTGGTACATAATGGTGTGAGTCATATGCTTAAAAAAATAGGTTTTTAAAAATATGACATAAGTTTCACTACTAAGCTGACTAATACAAATCTGGTAAAAGCAGGCTGAAAAGCTGCTGGTGTCTGAGCCTATTTTACACAGATGAAAAGTCTTCTTCTTAGACAACATGCTCACCTTTTAATTAACCTCACTCTCTCTGCCACTCAGCTGAAGAAGAAAACAAGAAGATCAGAGTTTTACCTCTGATCTAGTCAAACTTATGGTCTCTGATGAGCAACAACCTATGTACGGTCGAAGACATCAAGAAAGTCTAAAGGGTTTAGTTGAAAGCAGAGAACAGAGTTTTCATTAAGGTGGGAAAGTGAGCTCATGAGGATGAGCCCTATTTATGCTGATCACAAGCTAGTCTAATCAGCAGAGCATTTCCCACTGACATGTCTGAAGGCATCCTCCTGAGAGAGCCTTTCAGCACTTCCCAATTAAATCTCGCACAATCCACGTTGCGGTGAACTCATTCATACTTCATGAGTGCCGTCCACACTGAACACTCCGCTACATGCAGTACAAGCACTTAGAGCTGTTATAGTGTGTAACAGATGTTTATCTTATGATCAACAAAGACCGATAATGGATTTCCTTCGTTTCAGACTGAAGCTCTTTTAAAGACAAGTCTGTATATAGGTCCCAGGTTTGCTCCTGACTGTAATCAGCATTA